GGAGAGGAGTTTGACGGTCATATGTTGGAACTATAAGCACAGGTTTAAACCAGTGAGGCATGATGAATTCCCAAGTGACCGATAAGGCCGGTCGGTGATTCGAGTATCGGTCACCATGAGAGCAGCTGGGAACCGCCTCAAAATTGCGGTTTGTAGGGAACGATGAAGGTGATTATAGACATGATTACAGAAATTTCCTCAATGACAATACCAGTGGGACGGTTTAGCCACGCGTACATAGCACTGCATTTGAAGATACTAGACAAGACCTATCCGTGAATGGAATGTCGTTTGGCAATGTTTGCACGATGACACCGTTTGTGTGCTTACAGGTTAGCCCTAGCACATCGTTCTTGAGAGGTTCTCTCTTCGTCTTGACAGAGGCTACTTGATAGGCTACGACGATGGCTACGACTTCCTTTATGACAGTTTTCCACCCCTCCAGGTATATATCGAGATCAGCCAAGGACTCGGAATTGATTTGTATAAATCGCTCCGGACATCAAAACTTCAGTTTTTATTTCTAAAAGTCCATCGGCATGCAAAAATAGAAGGCCGTCAGCAGATTTTTCAAGGGTTACGCAGAGTGTGCTTTACATTTCCTGACACTTTTCTTACGGTTTTGTTGAATCAAATAAGTATATACAATAGTTCCCGATCCTACAATGTACTTCACAGAAGCTCATTCAAATATTTTACCAGCCATTCAGGGTTTAACCTAACTTACCCCAACCCCACGTGATAGATCCGCAGACAACTTCGTATTGATGGCCGTTGGCGCTCTTAGGCGGACCTCTGGAAAGAATGCTGACGCAGTCTTTGCCTGTTTTGTGCTTGGATTACTTCATCTTGTGGCCATTCTACTTGGTTCTTCCATTTGTCCGGATTTTCCCTTGGCAATTAAATGCCACAGGAGATTTTGCGCAATACTGCAAATAGCCAAGAGAAATAACAGGTCTCTCTTCAAATAGTCTGCAGTGGTGAACAATATATCCTTTACTCCCTTAGATCGTCAAAAACATTATTGCCTAGAAGCATGACTGGGGTGCCGAACAGCCGCTCTGATAACCTTGAATAGTTGATTGCATGTACTTTTATCGCGATACCGGTGTCGCGGCATGTGATTGGTTGAGTGGAGTACACTGCTCGCGTAATCATTAGTTGCCGTAATTTTCGAGTACAGATTGCTCGCGCACACAATCCACCACTATTACGTGCGCGTCACGTGGGGCGAGCGCCGGCCTGCGCTATACGGAATTTTCGTACTATACTTATTTCATTCCAGTGTTCGTACTCTCAGCTCTCTATTTTACTTGCATAAATACACACAGACCACAAGGAGATTCCTACGCACCACGTAAGATTCAAAGCAGCTGTGTGTCTAAGTGATATCCAACTGAATAGGCACCCAGCAATTCGGGGAGAAGAACATGGGCGGATAATACAAATCGGGACTGATTAAATTCCTAAATCCTTCCTGGCTATGAGAAATGGGTGACCCATAAGCGACTGGCGTTCCGCCCTTTTCAGCTGCAGTAAATAGCCTCAAAACCAGGGCATTTGGCTGAACCCATTCAGGGCGCTGCAAATCATCCACTTACACTCTGCGAGGAGTGGAGCTTCAGCGCCGATCATGACCAGTAGTCAGCATTGTAGAGGACGACCGGGCTAATCTGACGAATATCAATCGCAAGAATCACAATAAGCCAATTTAACTCGTGCCTAAGGGCATAGATACGGTTGTGGAGGGATTTATTCTTCTTTGTCAGTAGTGAATATCCAGTGCTTTGTACAGGACTTCATGACAGTCACCACCCTTCATCGCTCTAAGCATTTAATGAAACACCATATTTACGACACTGTCAAATATGATTTCGTGCCAGACGAATAACAACGAAATGCTAGAAAGAGCAAACACCCTTCATTCAGGGAAAGTTTTCGATAAGGTAATATGCGCAGATTATAGGAACGGAGGAGGAAATTTGCCTGTCCGTAAAACCCACAGATTGCAAGATTGGTAGCTAACATTCTGTAAGTACACACAAAGAACTACTGTATGCATTTTAGTAGACGTACTTACGCGTATTTATGTCATTGCAACCGCATTTCACCATACTTCGACTCATCTCGTCGCATCCCCATTGCTGAGGATTGGTACACTTTATCCTGCGGTTTACTCAACCCAAGTCTATTGCGTCCTCCACAGGGCCATTTTTAGTCCCCTGCTATTATCTTCGATGACAGGACATATAAAACCTGCAGAGAATCTTTTAGCCGCTAAAGCAGTCCCACTACGAGTCGGTGAGCACATTGTACGCCCCACAAGGAAACTTAGCAATCGGTAAATACATTTGCCTATGTTGACCACTACGCATCTGTTTCTAACCCTCCGATTGCAATTTTTAGAGCCCTTGCAGCCCGACCGGATGCGACTCGAGTCCGAATGGTCATAAACTGCTTTTTGTTTGTTTTCAATTACCTCTTGCGCCCTAGGATACCCCAACTATTACCGCCAGTCCCGTAAGACAGAATTCTGGGTCTACGGATGTCTAACGTGCATTGCAGTCACCGAATCCATGCACGTGGCAAGCAGAATTCAGGACCGTTCGCAGTCAAGTGCTGTGAACAAGACACAAACGTCAGAAACCTTAATCTCGAAAGCTTGCATGAAGAAGAGTGGCGTAGCTGTCCCAAGCCATTGCAACCTAGAGTTTTCTATTCTCACGGACACGGGT